AAAAAAAAAAAAAAAAAAAAGAAAGAAAAAAAGAAAGCATAAAAAGAAATTGATATATTAAGAAGTCAACACAACTACAGTTTGGTAGAGTTTGTCTTCTACGCCAAATAAAAAAGATTTGGATTTCTAATTTATTGAGCAATTTTTTTTACACCTTAATATATACATGTACTTTCTTTTAACATAATTATGTTAAAAAAATTCTTTTTTTACCCCACAATTCACATATGCGATGTAAAAATTGTCTATTCAAATGAACCACATAATTTATGTAAAAATTGTCTATTCAAATGAATCACATAGTTAACAATTACGCCAGAATGTACGACTCATGTTATAATCAGATTTAACGTGTTGAAACTCCACAACAAAATGGTAGAATTAAAAGAAAAATCAATATTTATTACAACAAAAAACACTACAATTCCAACGAAAAATTCCAACGGCAAAAATTTCCGTTGGAAATTCGAATGAATATTCCAACAAACTTAATTTTATGTTGGAAATTGTGTTGGATAGTTGAGGAATTCCAACGGATTTTTTCCGTTGGAATAGCTGTAGGAATTTATTTTTATAGGATTTTTCGTTGGATATTTGCTATTCCAACGGCCGTTTTTCCAACGAATTTTTATACGTAGGAATATCCGTTGGAATAGCTATTCCAATTAAAATATAAAAAATTCCAACGAAAATTTTTTGTTGGAATGTAAGAGTTTTTTTTGTAGTGTATTACTTCATGCACGTTTGCCTTTATGTTTTGGATTGTCGGTATTCTTTATGCCACATGTATCATACACAGAGTACCCTTTTCTTTTAAGGAAAACCACCGTTTGAATTACTGTATAATAAAACGACGAACTTTTTTTACACCCCGATTTCTATGCATATACTTTCTTTTACACACTATCCCATAAAAAAAACTTCTTGTTCAATCAAATACATGTGAAAATATAAAATCTAAAATTGGTGTCAATCACACACGAAATGAAAATAAGTCTTAAATATTCTAATCACAATTGGTTATAGGCTTGTTTAGTTTTCGAGCTCGGCTCGATAAAAATTTGAATCCAAGCTAGCTTAAACATCCAAAGCTCCAGCTCGACTCTACTCGGTTCGTTTATATTTAGTTGTGAGCATGTGACCGGCTCCAAACAATTGCCAATTATCGACATAAAGTTAGTCATAAACGATCGATTTCCGAGGAAGGAGGTAGAAATATAAGATCCACATCAATTATTAAAATTGTGC